TATATATATATATATATATATATATATATACATACATACATACTGTATAAACACACACAAACACACACACACACACACACACACATGAACACACAGCTCTTGAGAGCAAATACCTCTTAATAGCTTGTTTCTCATCAGAGGTTTTTTTACATTTTGGGTTTGACCTTATTAATATTATAGTGGTTTATATCCTGCTTTCACAAATATAAATCTTTGCCTTATACCAGTGTTTCTCAACCTTGGCCACTTGAAGATGTCCGGACTTCAACTCCCAGAATTCCCCAGCCAACATCTTCAAGTGGCCAAGGTTGAGAAACACTGCCTTATACCAATGGCTTAAACAAGTGTAGTATTAAACGTCAACAAAAAATATGGCTAAAAATTAGGAAAACAAGTAGCAATAATGGTAGTTCAACTACTTTTAATATTTCAGATATTGTGCCCCTTCTGCATTTAATAGAGCTATGTGAAAAAAGTACAGGAGAACTCTCTGGGGAGGAATTTGTAAACATCCCTACTTATTGCAGTTCATCTGCTGTTTTCTAACAATTGTCATGTAATTGAAATTCATAAGCATCGCCTTTATTGCTCTGACATAAACATATTTCTGCTTCTAGTAGTGCAACATTATCTCTCCCTGCTGGATTTGTCCGCCTGGTTAGTAAACAGATGAATTGGCATCTAGAACTTGCAAGGTTGGTGGCGAGGTTACCTTTTCCTTCGAAAGGTTACAATAATTGACTTTGGACTTCTTGCATTTAGACTAAATGCTTTAATATGTAATGTGCAACAAGGTAATTTTGGTTCACCGACAAATGCGTGCTTGACAAAAGCCAAAACCGCGGGGACAAAAGCGCGAGTTTGAAATTGCGAAGAAGAATGAGGACAGAAGCGCGTCGACAACAGTGCGCCGACAGAAGCACGCTCTTAACCTAACCCTAAAGGTAACCCTAAATGTAACCCTAAACCTAATCCTGAACCTAACCCTAAACCTAGCCCTAAACCTAACCCTAAATCTAACCCTGAACCTAACCCTAAACCTAACCCTGAACCTAACCCTAAAGGTAACCCTNAAGGAAGGAGAGAGAGAGAGAGAGAGAGAGAGAGAGAGAGAACACATGGCCGGCAAGCCACTCCCACAAAGGAGGCCACACCCACAGAGTAGGTTCAATTTTTTTTTGAAACCCACCACTGGATCATGTCAACCTCACTTAATGACTGGAGGTGACTTGCTTAATGACCAAATGGGAAGCGACATCATAAGGCCATTGTGGCCTATCGGCATTAATTTATTCATTATGAAAGTGTAGCATAGGCCTCTTAGGATCTACATATATACCTACACCGGTTAGTTGTTTCTTGATTATGTTAAATAATTAATTATACAACACACTGTTACGGGTAGAAACCATTGCCACAAAATAAACTAATGTATTGTCATTAGCAGCTTTTACTCCTGCCTCCAGGTACCAAATTATGTATGATTACTGAGCAAGAATGTTTAGGATATGAGAATAATGAAAAAAAATAAAATATCATGTTATTGTTTCCATGCCTAACTCCAAATAGAGTTAATTTTTAGATATATTTTTTTGAGGGGGAGGGGGATAAATTAAAGGGCCTGTTGACAAAACAGTCACAGAAAATAGCCTCTTCTATTGATCTTGCTTTCTTTCAAATACAATTATATTCTCTTTTAGGCCCGGCCTTATTTCTGCGCCACTTTTGGAGCAGGTAAGCCACTGTTAAACACAACTGATTAAAGCTCTGTCTTAAGAGAGCTCTGTGGCATTTTAAAAGCATTATTTTATCTCTTATAATAGCATTTGGAAGATACTATGATCTTTGGTTCTGAAATGGTAATTTTTTTATTCAGTAAGATTCATCTTCGAAAAGGCACTTTTATTTTTTTAGGACACTGAATATAAATTGTTTGTGTGTGTACACTGTGCCTGTGTGTGTGTATGTATGTGTATATATATGTACATGTTATATTTATGCTGATAAATAAAGGGAGACTAGTATAGATCTATTTCAAGCTATTTAGCTCTCATCAGCTAGCCATACCCAAGTTTATGAAATCTCCTTTCTTTCTTTCTTTCTTTCTTTCTT